GAAAGGACTCCTGTGGTTCAACAGAGAATGATTGCTATTAGGTCTGACAGTGAGTGTTGGAAAGGTAAATATAAATGGTAACAAAAGGAGGGAAGTGGCTGATTTTGCAGTCCAGAAGCGGACATCCCTGGAACCATCAAGGGAGAAAAGCAAAATGTGAGACCCTGTCCGGGGAGGCAGTGACACTAGGGATGGAGGCAGAGACAATGCCATGACAGAAGGAGCAGCTGGGGACTCTGGACTCAAGGAGAGAGAGGGACTGTGTGCTGGCAGCTGGGGGGCAGGCATGTGGGGTATATCCTTTGGTTTGATGATACATGCAGGGGATTGTGATCATTGCAGTAAAACAAAATATGATAGGACGAATGTAAAGATAATGTTCACCCATGTAAACTAAGACATAGTTCACAATAAAAAAAAAAAAAATAGAATAAGATGGAAGGAATACACAGATTCACTATACCAAAAGGAAATGGTTGATGTTCGACCATTTCAAGAGGTAGCATATGATCAAGAGCCAATGATACTGAAGGAGCAACTCCAAGGTGCATTGAAGGAATTGACAAAGAACAAGGCACCAGTTATTGATGGAATAAAAATTGAAGTCTTTCAAGAGGCGGCACAGGAGGCACTCATCTATGCCAAGATGTTTGGAAGACAACTATCTAGCCAACTGATTGGAAGAGATCCAGATCTGTGCCATTACAAAGAGACGTGACCCAATGGAATGCGGAAATCATCGGACAGTATCTTTGATATCCCATGTGAGTAAAGTTTTACTAAGGTAATACAGAAATGCCTGCAAGCATGCATTAACAAAACTTCCAGAGGTTCAAGCTAGATTTAGAAGAGACCATGGAACAAGGGGTATTATGCTGATGTCCAATGGATCTTGGCTGAAAGCAGAGAATATCAAATAAATGTTTACCTATGCTTTATTGACAATGCAAAGGCTTTTGATTATGTGGATGACAAGCTACGGACAACATTGCAAAGAATGCGTATTCTGGAATACTTAATTGTGCTCATGAGGAATCTGTATATGGACCAAGAGGCAGTTGTTCCAACAGAACATGGGAACACTGAATAGTTTAAAATTAAGAAAGATGTGTGACAGGGTTGTATTCTTTCACCATACTTATACACTGTATGCTGAGCAAATATTCCAAGAAGCTGGGTTCTATGAAGAAAAATGTGGCGTCAGGATTAAAGGAAGACTCATTAACAACCTGCGATATGCAGATGATACAACCTTGTTTGCTGAAAGTTAAGAGGACTTACTATATTTACTGATGGAAGATCAAAGAGCACAGCCTTCGGTATGGATTGCATCTCAATGTAAAGAAAACAAAAATCCTCACCACTGGACCAATAAACAACATTCTTTTCAATGGAGAAAAGGTTGAAGTTTTCAAGGACTTCATTCTTCTTGGATCAACCATCAACATCCATGGAAGCAGCAGTCAAGAAATCAAACGACATACTGCATTAGGCAAATCTGCACAAGACCTTTTTAAAATGTTGAAGAGTGAAGATACCAGCTTGATGACTAAGGTACGCCTGACCTAAGCCATGGTATTTTCAGTAACCTCATATGCATGCGAAAGCTGGACAGTAAATAAGGAAGACCACAGAAGAATTGATGCTTTTGAGTTAGGGTGTTAGAGGAGAATATTGAAAGTGCCATGGGCTGCCAAAAGAACCAACAGATCTGTGTTGGAAGAAATGCAGCCAGAGTACTCGTTGGAGGCCAGGATGGCCAAACTTCGTCTCTCATACTTTGGACATATTGTCAGGAGGGACCAGTCACTGGAGAAGGATATCATGTTGGTAAAGTGGAGGGTCAGAGAAAAAGAGGAAGACCCCCAGCAAGATGGATTGGCAAAGTGGCAGCATCAGTGGGCTCAAGTGTGGCAACAATTGTGAGGTTGGCCCAGGACCAGGTAGTGTTTTGTTCTGTTGTACATAGGGTCACTATGAGTCGGTACCGACTCAATAGCACTTAACAAAAATAACAACATGTATCATATATTCCATTATCTTCTTTTTAAAACTTTTATTGTAAATTGAATGAAAGCTTATAAAATAGATTATCAATCCCACATTCAACAAATTATACATTTTGCATCATTGCAATGATTGCACTCAACTTCATGTACCATCAGTTAACAGTATTTACGTCTAGTTACTTAACTTTTTTCCTTCCCCTTCACCTACCCTGTAACCATCATAGAATGTTTCATTTAGCAAGAAAATATTTTCTTAGCTTTTCACAACAGTGGTCTCATTTAATACTGGTCCTTTTATGATTGACTAATTTCACTCAGCATAATTTCCTCTAGTTTGTCCATGTTGTGATGTGTTTTGTGGATTCTTTGTTATTCTTCAACATTGGGTAGTATTCCATTGTGCGTGTGTATTAAAGGTTGTTTAACCATTCTTCTGGTGATGGGCATTTAGGCTGTCTCCATCTTTTTGCTATTGTGAATAGTACTGCAGTGAACATGGGTGTGCATATATCTAGCCATGTCATCGCTCTTAATTCTTGAGGATATATACCAAGTATAAAGGGATTGCAGTGTCATACAGTATTTCTATTTCCAGCTTTTTGAGGAAGTGCCATACTATTTTCCACAGTGGTTATACCATTTTACAGTTCCACCAGCAGTGCAGAGGGGTCCCAGTCTCTCCACATCCTCACCAGCATTTGTTGTTTTTCGTTTGGGGGAGCTTTGCTGTTAATGCTGGAGTAAGATAATATCTCATTGTTGTTTTGATTTGCATCTCTAATGGGTAATGTTTGTGAACATGTCTTCATAGTTTTGTTGGCTGCCTGAATGTCTTCTTTGATGACATATCTGTTCATATCCTCTGCCCCTTTTTAAATTGATTTTTTTGTTGTCTTGTTGAGGCGTTGAAGTGTTCTATAAATTTTGGAGAGTAGTACTTTGTCTGATATGTTGTTGCCAAACATTTTTTTTCCCAATGTGTGGGATTTCTTTGTATTCTTTTGAGGAAATCCTTTGATGCACTCATTCCTGATTTAAAAAAAAAAAGGCTCAGCAAAATAGGAATAAGAGGGAAAATTCTCAACATAATTAAGGACATATATAAAACCAACAGCCAGCAATCACTCCCAGTAGTGAGAAACTGAAAAAAACCAGACAAGTTTTCCCTTTATTACGACTCCTAGTCAGTGTTGTACTGAAAGTCCTAGCCAGAGCTATAAGGTAAGAAAAAATTAAAGGCTTCCAAATTGGCAGACAGAAGTAAAATTCTATTTGCAGACGATATGATTCTATATTTAGAAAATCCCAAAGACTCCGCAAGAAAATTATTGGTACTCATCAATAGATTCAGTCAAGTGTCAGGGTATAAGATCAGCATACAAAAATAAGTTGGATTCCTGTAGAACACTCTGAAAAGGTAATTAGGAAAACAATACCATTTACAATAGCCACCCAAAAGATGAAACACTTGGCAATAAATCTGACCAGAGAAACAAGAGACCTATACAAAGAAAAATATGAAAACACTACTACACAAAACCAAACAAGACTTAAAGAAACATAGGACTATATACTACTCGTGGATAGGAAGATAACATTGTGAAAATGTCAACACTACCCAAAGCATTCTAAATATAATGCTATCTCAATCCACATTCCAAACATCATTATTTAAAGAGATGGAAAAACTAATCTCTATATGGAAAGGAAAGAGACCCTGGGTAAACAAAGCATTATTTAAAAAGAAGAGCACAGTAGGAGGCCTCCAACTTCCTGATCTTAAAATCTAATACACAGCCACAGTAGCCTGGTACTGATACAAAGAGATACATAGGTGTGTGTATGTGTATATGTATATATGTATGCACATATAGTCACATATATAATCAAATAGAAGGCACAGTTATAGATGTTTGCTAGACATAACCAAACACCTTGAGGTGTAGGGGATCTTAATAGTTTCATATTGACTTGAGGGAATGATAGTCTCTGAAAAAAGTCATCGATGTTTTTCAAGATTGTGGGAGATCTGAGAGACGGCTCTGACTTGTCTATAGGAAGGGAAGTTGGTGTGGTGTTGGGGTCACCACGATACAGTATAGGAAAGAAAGTGTTGATGGCCTGTGAGCAGCTGATGAGCAAGGGGAGATGGGGGAAATTACAAAAGAATACAAGAAGGGAACTTTTTGAAAAAGGTTACAATAGTATTTTTGGCAAAACCAGTTTCTTTCAGACACTATTTTGCCAGTGTTCTTTATTGGTCTAATTTTGGTCATTGTTAGCTGTTATTATTAGGAAGTATCAGTATCTCAAAGGGATGCCCTAAATTGTTATTAATCATATGCAGTTGACTTTTTAAGGTATTTTGTTCATAGTAAAGTTTGGGTGAAATTTTTAAAATGATATTATGTTTTACTAATGTGAAACACAAATTAGTGTTTTGTAATACTTTGTCTTTAAAAATGTCTTCCTTATTCCCTGTTGCTTGGGTTTGTTTGTTTCTTAAATTTTTTATTGTGAAGGTTTACAAAGCACATATCATAGCTTTACATTCAACAAATCATACATTACCAACTCAATGAATGTAATCCCTCAATCCACTCGCAATTCCCATTTTTTATGAGATTATCATTTGTTATAAACCACACAGTTGAGTACCTTTGCATAGTCAATAAAGCACAAGTAAACATTTTTTCTTTTTAAGGTTTTCCTTGTTGAAAGAATCATTTCACTAAACCACTTTGTTGTTGTGTTGTGAAGTGCTATCACGTCGGTTCCAACCCATAGCAACCCTGTATAGGGTTTCCATGGAGCAGATGGTGAGCTTGAACTGCCAACCTTGCAGTTCAAACGGCTTTGCAGTCTGGTGCATTAATCCACAGCGCCACACCAGGACTATACTTAAAATCATTGAGTGGCTAGGGGATTTGTTCCGTTTTGCTAGTAATGGTTGTACTCATGATTTTTTAATGTTTAAATTTTGTGTGTTAGGTATGGTGAACCGTGAAGTACTGGAACAGGTGGAACGAGGATACAGGATGCCTTGCCCTCAGGGCTGCCCAGAATCCCTACATGAATTGATGAATCTTTGTTGGAAGAAGGACCCTGATGAAAGACCAACATTTGAATATATTCAGTCCTTCTTGGAAGATTACTTTACTGCTACGGAGCCACAGTACCAGCCAGGAGAAAATTTATAATTCACTTGTTTTATATGCACAAATCTGCCAAAATGAAAAGAACTTGTGTAGACTTCCTCACTTATGTATAGGAATCAAAAGAAGAAAGTCTTCTTTACTCTGCATGTTTTTTATGGTAAACTGGAATTCCAGACATGGTTGCACAAAACCACTTTTTTTTTTTTAAATCAAGTATTAAAATATGAAGTACCAATATTGAATTCTCCAACTTACTTCAGGGTCCAAAGAAAGTATAGTGAAGATACTGATGACAGTGTGAGTGATAGCGTGAACAATGAAGGGCAGCAAGACCACTGTTCCTTCCCCAATTCAGAACTGTTAAAGGAAATGGTCTTTGTAGACCGAGTAAAAAGTTACACTATAAGAAACCCCAAATCTAAGGAATTTCATGGGACCAAACAATTCCATTCCAGTTTTTAAAAATTTTCTTGCATTCATTATTCTCAAGGGTTTTTTTCTAAGTTTGAACAGTTAGTATGCAGTTTAAATATATGCCTCCTTTTGCATGGAAAAGGGCCAAGATTCACAGAAGCAAAAAGGAATATAAACAGCATCTAAAACTTGATTACATGTCAGACCTCAACAGTAGAATTTGAAAGTATAATGTACTATGTTAATACTCATATTCATGGAACTGGAAAGTAGAATAGGAACATTTTCACTTTGAACCTTTTTCTGAATAGTTCAATTTAGAATACAGAAGGTAACTAGGAAGTGAATTAATAATTTTACTAGGTTGCATTGATTGAGACAGATAAATGCCAATATATAATTGAAATTATACTATCCAATCCAAGGGGGAAACTTGTAACCGTTAAGTAGCTTAAACAGTACTTAAAAACAATTCGACTTGGTACTGTGAGCTATTGTTAATCTGTACCTCTGAGGATGGGTGCCACAAATAGAAAGGAACACTGGATCAGGGACTTGAATGCACTTTTGCTGTTATTGAATAGAGACTAACAGAGAATAAAATGTATTTAAAAGAAATAGAAGAGACTATGTGGGTTTTACAGATAGAGGGATAGAACGAAGTGTTTAATGTTGATGTCCTAGAGTGACAAAATGGCTTTGCTGGCACTCAGAGCTTCTCACTTGTGTATTCAAAGACTTTAAGAGTTACAAGAGATCACTTATAAAACTAATTTTTCCTAACATGGACATTGAGTGTTACATCCTCAAAATAGTGAAGTTTTCATACTTTACTACAGTTGCACAGCATTTATTCCGAGCATTGTGAACTTCCATTTTCAAATTCCTGTTTGAATCTACATTCACTTTTTAAATATGCTTCATGGTGACCATTTTTTCTCTTATAGAATATAGTTGATTTGGGGAGGAAAATTTATTCAAAACTGTTAACAATGGTGAAAAGGGTTAGTTTTTAGTTTTTGCCCATTTAAAGTGCAGAAGAAAACAGAAAGACTTTTACGACTAACTCAGAAATAATTCCAAAATAAGAATTTGAATAGTAGCATCAGGGCTTAAGTGGCCTATTGTTGATGTTAGGTTCCAATTCATAGCGACGCTGTATAGGGTTTCCAAGGAGCGACCGGTGGATTTGACCTGCCAGACCTTGCAGTTCAAACCAACCTTGTGATCATGTGCTTATCGGTTAGCAAAGGAAAAAATCTGATATACATAAAAGTCTGATACTTGTTTTAAAATAGTCTACAGTCATACCTTAAATAAAGCAATAATATCAGTTCCCCATATTTTAGGAATATCATTTTTTATCTGCTGTCACTTATCACTGGTTTAATCAAAAAAATGAAAATTATGTGCCATGGCATCTATGTTGAAACTCAGAATATTTTTAAATGTGATGAATATCTTGCAAGTTGGCAACAGTTTGGTACTAAAAATTGTGATTGTTTCTTATGTTTACATAACCTGCTTAGTATTGAATCCCTTTACCAAGAGGTCCTTCCTAAGGAGAGTGGTGTCAATATTTACACTTAACATCTACAACCTATGACATCAGATTTTTAAAGGGCTTTATGTAAACTGAAATTGTAATTTTGTAAGCATTTTAAAAAAGGCAACAAAATTATGTTTTATGTACTAATGCTGTTAAGAAAAATAAGCCATGAAAAGTTGATGGTATTCATTAGGTTTTTAATTAGTGGCATAGTTCCTTGTAATAACAATTGTGTGATAAGGGAATAAAACACTAATGTTTATTGAGTTTAAGTGGTTATGTCATTTTTAATTGCCAAGAAAAAAAATAAACAACTTTGTATGTTTGGAGATTTTTTTTAACAGTTTTTCATGTTCATGATCTTAATGTAGAACTTAACCCTTACCAAAAATTGAACTTAGTGAAAACAGCCTTCTAGCACAAACATTTTTTTAATTGAATAATGATAACCTAAAATTTAATGTTTTTATAAAGTATTATAATGTTTGTGGATAATTAAAATAAAAATTCTCATTGTACCTATTTATCTTTTTAGTTGCTATTCATACTTTCTATCAGTGTCTTAAAATTTGACATTAAGCCAGAATATATTCTAAATTCTTATTTTTCTATTGATATGTTCAGTTATCGTTCCTCAGCAGAGTTAAATCAATCTTTGTTAAATTCAGGACATTATTGAACTTACTCTCTGTGGTTAATTTTCTATTCCACATGAGTGACGTGTTCTAGTTTAGTGTTGTTTTTGTTTTTTTGTTAAACCAGCAATTACAGTTAATGTATTATATAGAGAAACCCAAGAAAGTTGGGTCAAACTATTTGTAGAGAATCTAAGTGAAGGATATAAGATGGATGACTACTTTTGACATTATTGGATTGGATCTTCAAACAATGTATGGGCCATAATTCTGTGTGTGTATGTATGTGTGTGCTTTGCACTTCTATTGTAAGTATAATGAAAATAAAACTCATACTAAATTACAAGTGACCAATTAAAATCCTTTTCTATTTTCAATTAACATAATAGTATTAATTACTTTTTAATGGTATATCATCTAGAAAAAATTGTTCCTGGACTTACTTTTCCTGATGATTTCATAAAAGTAACATGTTATCAGTTGACACTGCACTTAATAAAAATTAAGTATTTTTATCTATTATACTCTATATATTATATATTTGTATTTTATATATTATCTATCCTTAGACCATCCTTTAAGAGTGTTTTCCGCTTGCCTTTTAATTGTGATTTTTTTCACAAGTTGTACATTTTATGTTGTCAAATTGCTTTTCTGTTTTTTACATTTTAGTTCATTTGGAAGTTACTTGTGTATAAAATTATTGGAGGGATCTAGCATGATTTTTTTTTGCCCCAGATGGTAAAATTTCCCAGCCCAGCACCCTTTATTGGTCTTTTATTAATGCACTAATCTACACGTGTGTGTTTTGTCCACTTGTCATCAACATTGTTGTTAAGTCTGTCACGTCAGTTGTGACTCAGAGCAACCCTGCATAGAGTTTCCTAGGTGGCACATCTGCAAGAGCGGAAAGCCTCATCTTTCTCCCATAGAACGACTGGTGCGCTCGAGTTGCCCACCTTGTGGTTCGCAGTCCAGTGTTTATCATATGTTGCCACTGCGTTCCTCTCCATCAACATAACACTTTTAATTGCCAGTTAATTTTAGAGTCCTGGTGTGGTGCTTTTAGATAAGCACTAGACTTGCTTACCTCATGGTTGGCTATTGAAGCCCCCCAGCCACTTCTTGGAAGTATATATATGGTTGCTATGAGTCGGAACCAACTCGACAGCACTTAACAACAACAAATAATGTGTTTAATCACCAGTAGAGTAAGTTCCTTTTTTATGGTTGGTATTCTGGAAAGCTCTTGGAAGTTTAGTTTCTTTTTTTTTTTTTTTTTAATTACAAAAAAATTCAAGTGAAGTTTTGGTTGGGATTGCTTCATACTTATAAATTGCTTTGGTAAGAATTATCCTTCAAATTAAACTTCCATCCTATTTATCAAATCCTCATTTAGCTCTCTTAGTAAAATTCTCCAAGGCTATTCTCTACAGAGTTAGATATTCTTAATGACCACACAACTCTTTAAGGATGCCATTCCAGAGCAACTGGAAAGCAAGTTCTCTCTTTGTTACAAAAGAAACCAGTGTATGGAGAGTATATCCAAATTGCATTTATGAGGGTAAGTCAAAAAGTATTGCTACGATGGCGAGCTAAAACACCTGAGGACTCTAGACTCATGGAAAGAAAGGCTGTGTGCTGGCGGGCAGGGGGCTGGTTTGCAAAATGTTCCCTTGGTTGTTTAAATGATTGTATATTTCTAAGTGTTTTTGTGTACATTAAAAAAAAAAAAGGGAAGAGAGACAAATACTGTTAACTGATGGTGCATGGAGGGGATTGTAATCATTGCAATCAAAATACGATTCATTGAATACAAAACCGATGTTCTGCCATGGAAACTCACTCTCCACTGTCCAGTTATTAGGTCTTGGGTGTTTTACATTTAATGGAATATTGACCGTTGCTACTGTACTGAAAACTTTACTGTTTGCATAAACTGCCACTTTGCTATATTCCCCAATTTTTTGCTTCAGAACTTTTTATTTTGCTTACCAACATAAAGCCTCCTATAAAAAGTTGTTTCTAAAAAGACGTAGACATCATCTATCATCCTCTTTGGCCAGAGGGAGCAATCTTCCATCACCTTTGTTTCCTAATAAACTCAAAACTCGGTTGTTCTTGGCTACCCCTTTCTTTCCTAAAAATGACTGAAAGGGCATATATACATCAGTTTCCTAAGAAACAACTGCTTTTCGTTGCTCGCTTAAAAAATCTGTATAAACTTCAAAGTTGCCTTGTCAGCACATATGCTCATCAGTTAACTAGGTCTGAGCTTTTCAGTTCTCTAGGATTTAGATAAAGGATTAACTTAAAAGCCTATATTTTAGACTTTCTTTACCATTATCATTATTTCTAAGGTTCGCCATATAAGGTTCTGGTAGTACCTCCTGGGGAAAGGTAAGAGAAGCCTGTGTATCTGATATTAAAACTGCTGAATGTTT